ATTTGGAGGTCTTTGTAATGTGCCTTTTCTTTAAAGCTACTCAAGGGAAAGATCCTGGATTAGCAGCTGTTGTAACTTTGGCATCGTCACTTGATTACACACCATCTAAATCAGCACTCAGACTGCTTTTACCCCTTGTAAGTTGGGTCTGACTTTATTTTACCTTGTTTGATGGAAATTACTGTTTACTCCTGCATGAAGCATGAAATTCTCTTGCCTTGACATGCAGGCTGATCCTGCCCAGGCTCTCAATGTACCTGTTGTTCCTCTAGGATCATTATTGACTGCAGCCTATCCACTAACATCTAGTCCTCCTTATGTATTGTCTTGGCTCAATGACATGATATCAGCAGGAGACATGATGCATCCAGAGTTGTTGAAAAAGCTTGTTCAGAATAACTTTTGTGAGTATTTACATAAATATGACTGCTACTTTGTTGTTCTGCTCATGTTTGATTTGTAAATCTTCTCACTATGGTAAAGAAGGTTGGGCACTGGGATTCATATTGATCACATAGAGTGATAGAGATTGCATATTGTTCAGATATGAAAAAGCTAACTAATGGTCTAATGGATTGGATCTCTTGGTAAGGCACACACAAGTGCTGGTGTTATAGGATACAAACTGATAAGAAACGGAACTGGTTTTTTAGGATAGAATTTACCGAGTGTTTTGCATACAAGGCTTTGGAGATATTCCCTGTGAAATTCAAAAGCAGTCCTTGATGTTTTATTTTCAAGATGAACTTATTTCATTTTATTTTGTCTTAATTAATATGCTATAAGTTGATCACTGCTCATAAATCTACAAATTGACAAATGTTTTACTCATGTGATTGACGATTATAGTTTATGATAAATTGATAATTGATGAAGACTGCGATTTTTATTTAATTTTGATTTTTTTTGTTATTTTATTTTTCTAATCATCTCTAGAAACAAACCTGGCTTATGGAAATAGTAGGTAAGATTAGAGAAGATCTTTCATTCAGTTTCAACAGAAAGAGAATACAAGAGTATATCAGCTAATCCAACTCTAACTTCTCCTAACTAATAGACTAACTCAGACACTCAGTCAACTAAAAGTAACACCCCAGAATATCCTGGCTGATACCAGATTAGAGAAGATCTTTCTTTCAGTTTCAACAGAAAGAGAATACAAGAGTATATCAGCTAATACAACTCTAACTTCTCCTAACTAATAGACTAACTCAGTCAACTAAAAGTAACACCACAGATATACAAACTATAATATAACATAATAATAACAAGATATAATAATAGTTTTAACAGGTAATTCACTTTTTGAGCAAATAACTTGGCTATGGGAGAACACCAAACTTTAGATATGAATGTGCAACAACCTCTTGCATAGTGTATCATTTTATAACTTCGACTACTCCTACCAACATGATGAACTTTGAGTTTTTCCCTACAAAAGTTTGGCTGATAGACTAGGTGGCAGGTACCATTCCGGCTAAACTTCTATTACAGTTGACAACTGCTTTTCGAGAAGGGGGACTTCGTGACAGAAGTGGTAAATTTTTGTACAAGGATCATCTCCATAAAATCAATGTCCCTGTCTTGGCTCTTGCTGGAGATCGTGACTTAATCTGTCCACCTGAAGCTGTTTATGGTATGTATTCAAGTGGTTGGCACATGACAAATAGATGAAGTTAATACATTTATTAACAGTTTTTGTTGTTCAATAACTCGAAACAGAAACTATAAAGGTCATTCCTGAACACTTGGCCACTTATAAACTCTTTGGGGAACCAGATGGACCACATTATGCTCATTATGACCTAGTGGGATGCCGTTTGGTATGTGTATTCCATTCTTCAGTTATTTGGTATTTATTCGGTTATTCCCATTCATTTATACTGGAAAAGGAATATAGATCCATATAATTGGAATGTCTGAACTTACATTTATTTCTCTTGATTGATGTTTAAAAGTTAACAGCTTTTTAGAATTCCCTTTTTTCTGCTCCCTTTCTTAACCTGCAATGTGAAAACTCGGATATCTTTTTGTTAATTGCAGGCCGCAGAACAAATATATCCTTGCATAGTCCAATATCTAAGCCGTTATGATTTGTGACTTGAGTAACGATGATGCGGGCAGTTTTGCTTGCTTGTGATGTCTTGTACACTTTTTTCTTTTTCATCATCATGCCTGTACTAGTATCCCTCAACAGTATGTCTTAACCGGTAAGTCCAAATATTATACTACCTGCTGTACTTGTCTGCTCATCAACTCTTAACATAGATATGTGATATGTGTATATGCTACTTAATCCTTTGCAATTTCATCATGTTCATTTACTCTTTCTCAGTGTAGGGAGTGTATACATGCAAATGTTAAGGGCTTCGTCGAGTGTTACTGCCAGCTTTGAATCTCGGTTTTTGAGCCTGAGCTGGTTTGTGTATTGGACTTGTTTATTATCTCTTTCTCTTAAAGAGGCAAGTGGAAGTAGATTTGGTTAGTCATTTTCCAAGCAATAGGATAGCTTAGCTGCCTTAACAAATCAAGCTGAATTATTCATACAATTAATTTCAGTCCACTGGCTTGAATGTACCTTAGAAATTGCCTTGGGAGTATTTGTGTTATAGATAGATTGTGAACATTGTTAAGCTGTTATTGGGACATTCAATTCATAACGACTAGTGAATCCAATAGACATTTTAAAGTTTAATTTGTGCAAGTTTACTTTTTAGTTTGTGTGAATATTTAAGCTGTTTTTGCTGAGCATATAATTTGCAATTGTTATACCATGGACTAGGGTCAACCTTTCAAGTTGAACCCGGGTCCAAAATACACAATTTGCGTATTGAATGTTTACAATTTACCTTTTACAAAATTGTGAGCATTCAGTATGTAAATTGTGAACATTCAGTATGTAAATTGTATATTTTGAACCCGAGTTTACCCTTCAAGGTGGACTTGGGTCCATAGAATAATTTGCCTATAACTTGTGAGTAGGTAAAAATGTTTATTGGTGCCAACCGGTTCTAGTTTAGTCAAGAATGGAATGGAAAAATGATATATGGACTTCAAGTAATTTTTTTGTCATATTGTGATTTTTATTGATTGAAGAAAAAGAAAATAATTAAACTTAGAAATACGTGTAGTATTGTTCAATGATTTTTTTATTTCTTTGTTATGTGATTATCATTTGTCAAGGTGAATTTTACCTTTTTACTTTTAAGTACTCCTACTGTCACATCTTATCTGTCCTATTTACTATTTATTTGTCAAATTATTTTTTTGTTTAATTTTTTTTAGTATTTTTTACTTATTTTTAAATTTAATATTTTTTTTGTGTGTTTAAGTACTTTGTGTAGTTTCTAAATATATAAATTTTGTACACTAATACTAAATTTAATATTATAAAAAAATTAGATAAAAAATAGTTTTAGTCAAGTCTCGTTAATCGAACCAGACACATAAAATGGGATGCAGGGAGTATAATTTTTGGCCTTCTAATTTTTATATTTTTCATTTTTTATTGAGAATAAATTGATAATTTCTCAAATACCACCCCTAATTTGCCTTCTTTTCTCAAATTTTAGTTGAATCTTTGAAAATTCACTCAAAAATATAAAACCTATTTCAACCTAAAAGGTAGTTTAAGTGGCAAATGAGCTTCTAAGTGGGAAAGATCTCTAGGATACCCTAAGTTCGATTTCTACAAGTGACAAAGTGACAATTTTCCTTGGACCAGTTCCTGTGCATCTCGGAGTGACGGACAAGGATCTGGACCACCTCGTGCGTATACATGAAAAAAAAGTAACCCTATTTCTTTTCATTCAAAAATTCATCCTTATTGTCAAGTGAAATTTCTCTAAAAATGACTATAATCAAGTGATAAAAAAAAGTAATTTTTCTAAATTTATCAGAGTTGAAATGGTATAACATCATTTGAAAAGAAAAAAAAAATGTTATGATTTTTATACTAGTAAATTGGTGGTGATATTGCATGTCACATATTTGCTTCTCTCCCACAAAATGGTTAGGTAGTGGACAGAATTGAAAGGAAGGGATGGATATGATGCGACAACATTTAATTTTGGAAGAAATATAGAAAACAAAAAACTTACTAGTATCCAAATTCAAGACAATAGCAAAAGTTCAAAACGATGCCATAAAGTATTGTTCACCTTTCCAGTGGCAATGATAAGAAACCACCAAGACCTACCCTGAATATTTGCTCTTCCTTTCAAGAATGATGACCCATATAAATTTAGGAAAATGCTGTTTCCCGCTCATGATATTTTCCTCAATGATATGACCTTCATTCATTGGGTGCTCTTTAGTTGGTTGACTCCACTACTAATTAAAAAAGAAATTAAGTTTATAGTCGAATATTAAAAAGTCTAATTAAATAACGTAACGTCAAAATAAAAAAAATTAAAGGAGAAATACAGTAGATATGTAGCATTAGTCACAAAGTTATTCTTTCATGGACATAAATTATATTTGTATTTATAATTTACATTCACAAATTAAATGTCGAATATATTATCTCCACTTTTTCCATTCAGGGCCGTGAGTTGTTAGGTTATAATTCCCAAAACTAGTCAACTACATATGTTAGATGGTTAGTTGAGTACATGGCTGGAGGAATATAGAAGAGAAGCAGTCGAGCTGGCAAAAAAAAATATACTCGGCCCGTCGGCCGAGTTGGCCCCCCAACTCGGTACCTAAGACACCTAGTTGGCCGACTAAAAGTCACCTAAGGCTGAAATCGCCTCGGCTTAAGGGTGTCTAGCGCTTAGGCGACCGCTTAGGCCAATTTTTACAACACTGCATTTAACCAAATTAAAGAATATAAAAATAAACCCGCACGAGTTTAGTTCAATGATTTAGTGGGCAGTATTTGAGAGAAGAGACCAATGTTTGAACCACGACTACAGTCTAAAGATTATGTTCAAAGTTGGCAGATTCCTTGTGCACAGCACCGGCATTTAATCGAAATATACACATACAATACATAAAACATACCCTCTTAATTTCCTCATACATCTGCCACAGATGTAGCACTGCAGGGATGCAATTGGTCCAGACCTACTTTTTCTTGCAGCATCTCAGCCCATCCCTTGTTCTTCTGTTCCTTTCCTTTGCAACCCCTCCCTCCCTCCCTGCATGTTATCCATGCCAGAACTTCATATCTTCATTTCCCATTCACTTATTGATGATGGGAAAATACCCTTATTGTCTTCCATGTCCCCCACTTTAACTACCAAAGCTAAAATTCATATCTTTCCTCTTGTAATTGTTTTGTGTCAGGGATTTATATCATATCCCCAGAGGCCTATATATTATACACACATGTATGTGTTAGTTTGTGTATATATAGGCTTACAATATTATTGTGTTTTGAAGTGAAGAAATAGTTAATTGTATTCAATATAATGGACTCAAATAATGCACCAAGATATCTTCTAAACCATGCAGCTCTTTCTTCAGTTTACTATCAAGGAAAAGAAGATAATGGCAGCAGCAACATCATTGATTTGGGACTTAGCCTTAGGGTTATAAACCCTCAGACTTATCATCCAGCTCCACATCATGGTAAGGTTTTTGACCTTAATTAGCTTGGTTAATTACTTGAACATTATATTCCTGTGTTTATTTCTGTTGTAAAACAGATGCGAAAAGGTCTTTACAACAGACGCAAATTAAATAGCTGTTTTTGTACTAGTGACTGTACCTTTCAAATTGGAGAAATACACGAGCAAACGTATCCTATGTTTCAATTTTTCAAGTTTTTCATAATTCTTTAGAAAAAAAAATGGAGTATTTCTCCCGCGATTAAACATACCTTAAAGATTCTTCATATACTTAATAGTCTGACTTAATTGACCACTATTACTGTTTGACTTGGTTAAATAATGCTTTTTGTAACAATTTATTGTTCCAAAATGCTAAAGTTCAAAAAGCTGTCCTCAGAGTAACATTTTCGATCAGTTTTTTGAAAAAGTCATTTTGTATGTAATTAGGTATCAACTAACAGCTAATTTACCAAATACTTTTCTACAATCAGTTAATGCTATCAACTAGTCAAACCCACTAACCCAATCAGCTAATAGCGGGCTATCGGCTAACAGCCATTTATCAAACACCCCCAATATATGTTTTATTTTTCTATATTGTAGGGAGCTATGAGGAGCTGATAGATTGGCAGGATCTGCACCCACAGATAAGAAATGGAAGGAGTGAGGAGGATCCAAGAGCCTATATTGAACATTGTGATGATGAAGCTGAGGGGATTCAAAGCAAATTAAAAGAGAGGTGGGATTATGTGAAAGTTAACATGGATGGAGTGATTGTTGGCAGGAAAATTTGCATTCTTGATCACATGAGTTACTCCTCCCTTGCTCTTCAACTAGAAGACATGTTTGGTATGTATGTTTTAAACTTGGATTTTGCAACATGGATCATATTTGGTTTTATAACTGATGATAGTGTCTAAGGTGTGAATTGATATAAGTGTCTCTTGCACCAGGTACAATAAAAAATGTATGTACGGTTGTACCATGTATAATGGGGATAAGTGCAAAAATATTACTCAATATATACAACCCTAAAAGTTTGTTGAGATGTACTCATCAGTACAATAGGAACTGGTGTCGTCGATTAGCACATTAGAAATTTTCAGCTTATTAATTTTTTTTTGAATACTATTGACTCTATTAGAATGTAGTATCTGTTCTATACTTTCTCTAATTAGTGCAGCCCAAAGAGTCAATACCCCACCACCGAGATTCGATCCTATGGTATCATGTCAATATGTCATATCATATAGTATTGAATCAAATTTGATTTGTGTCATATTTTTGAGTAAAATTTTAAACTTTTATAAACTTAGAATTGTTTATGTTAATTAAAAAAAATTAGTGAAATTGGTTTTGTTGGTGTTTATTAGGGAAACAATCCATATCTGGGCTAAGACTATTCCAAGATGGTTCAGAGTTCTCCCTATTTTATAAGGATAGGGATGATATTTGGAGGATGGTTGGAGATGTTCCATGGAAGTAAGTTTAATACTTAGACTATATATATATATATATATATATATATATATATATATATATATATATATATATATAAAGTTCTAGTCTTTTTTTTTTTTTTTTTTTTTTTTTTAAGGGAACATATATGAATAAGTTGCATATATAACACTATAATAGAATTGCCAGCAATTGTAATATAATGTATTAAAAAAATTATAATTGTAATACAAATATTACAATTTTTATTTTTATTTTTTAAAAAACTCAAATATTATTTTAATTTCAAATGTTCATCATGAGGTTTACATTTGTTTATCCTATTTTGAGAAATTCAGCATAATTTATTATATTTTAATGTTCTTTAAAATTGGATTGATTTGAACAGAGAATTTGTGAATCGAGTCAAGAGACTAAGAATCGTGCAGAAGGAAGAATCAACTACTCCCCATCCATCTTCTTAACTATAAATAATTTAAAAAAATTGTAAGAGGTTTGATTATCGTAGAGTCATTTAGTTTTTAAAGTATATTTACCGTTCTATTTGTAGTAGTAAGAGTTGTAATGGAACCAAACATTACAATAAAAAACTTTTTTTTTGAGAGGAAAATTAATGCATTATATCACCAGAAAGAAAATTAACAAGGAAAGGAGGAGGATTATCAAACCACTCCCTGCAACCTGACATCGAAACGACTTCCCGAGCAACACTGTGGGTAGCACGATTCTCAGATCACTTAGCAAAATGGAAGTCTATACCATTAATATGAGATGCAACCTCTTTAACATCGTCTACAATAAAACCAAAAGCAGAAATAAAATAACACGAACACAAAGCATGATAAGCTAATTGGGAGTCTGTCTCAATATCCACCTCTCCCATTCCCGTTTCTTTAAACCAACTTAGAATTTCCCGAATACAGATTGCTTCAGCCTCTTTAACTCCATAATTGCCACTGATACGCATTCCTTTAGTAGCCAATAACCGACCCTCATCATCACGCAACACCCATCCTAGACCCATAATATTATTTTGTTGATCAACTGAGGCGTCTGTGTTCAGTTTCAATTTACCACGATCTGGTGCTCTCCAACAAGCTTTTTATAACAGGACTTCACAATTTTATTCATCATTTTTGGTTTGTTAAATAGCTAATAGATAGGGAATGGAGTAACATTTTACACATTTTGTTTGTTTATTTTTAATTTCAAAAATGACCTTGTGGTCTAGTGACTTTCTTACATGGAAGGTCATAGATTATGGTGCATGAGTTTAACAAAAATTTTAAAAATTTCTTATTTTAGTTTCGTAACCTCTTTCAATATTAATTATTCTTTGTACTATACCTACAAATCTAATAAGAGTCAATAAATAAATACCTAATAAGAGCCAATAAAATTTATGGTGCATCAATTTAACTCTTAAGGTGCGTAAGTTTATAGCTTAAACTAAAAAGCGACACACCTTAAGCTTTAAACATGACCATCCACCTTAAGCTATAAACTTACGCACTTTAAACTTTGAATTTATGCACCTTAAACAGAGACTTTACGCAAAATAACCATAATGTCACCGCATTTTTTTTAATTGTTATTCATTTTGAGCTATTGATTTTGACAAGATCAAAAATTGTGATTAATCTGCACGTTTCACTTGAGAGAAGCTTTGCACATGATCCATTATATATATATATATATATATATATATATATATATATATATAACTGTTATATATAAAGGGGTGAGGGAAGCAATTGGCCAATTGCCCTTGACTATGACATTTTACAGCTAAAATATTTGTCACGGGTGAACGTAAAATTGGAGGACAAAATATAAAAAAATTAATAGTTAGAGACTAAATATAGAAATTATTCAATAGTTGTGGGACTAAAAATAAAAAAAACTCTGTCTAGTTCAATGCAACGGCATCGTTTAGCCTTCGGGAATAGTCAAAGCGATCTAACGACTAGATCAGTGCAAAGGCAAGCTGATCCTTAGACGACGATGATGGACAGTTGTATTAGAGCATTGGTGGAAGCCATACACTCTACTCCTACTCAAGCCGTCCTCTATATCTCCGGTGGAGCTTCTCAGGTTCTTCTCCCTTTTCTTCACACTTGTCCGCGCAGATGCATATCATGTGTTCGATGAATTGCTTATATACGAATTTGGTTAGGCGATGGGGTGGTTGATGTCCGTTCCAGGAGCTTCCAATACAGTACTTGAAGCCGTGGTTCCTTACTCCAGAATGTCCATGATCCAACTGCTTGGCAAGGTCAATTCAATTCTGTCAAATCACTTTTTTTAAAAAAAAAATAATTCAATTTTTAGAAATGATGATGAATTTTGAATGACTTCAGTGCATCTTTTTTGGGTTACTGGCTATGTTTTGTTGTTCTGAATTTATTTTGCGTGATACTGACCAGGTTCCTGCTCAATCAGCTAGTCAGCAAACCGCAGAGGATATGGCATTATTGGCTTATAATCGAGCACTAAAGCTTTCTAAACCAGGTTAGTTTTCTTCTTGATTAGGTTGGGAGTAATGAAAGGCATAACCCATTGTGTGAACATATTTGAGAATTTGTGAGTGAATCTCCTGCCATTCAATTTTTAATGTGTTAATACACAATTTAGTCATCAATTATAGTGGGTTTTCTCGATTTAGTTCTAAACGTTTTTTTTTTTTTTTTTTTTTTTTTGGTGCTTAATTGGGTCATCGACTTTCATGTTTTTCCCAAATTGAGTCATCGGTTGTTAGAATCAAGGGCTAAATCAAGAAAAATCACTATAGTCGATGACTAAATTGGGTATTAACCACTCTAGTCGAGGATTAATTTGGATAAAATCATTATATTCGAAGACTAAATTGTGTATTAATAGATGTGAAATTACCAAGCTACATTTACAAAGGACTCAATTAGGGAAAACCATCGAAGTCGAGGATCCAATTAAGCACAAAAATACGTTTAGGACTAAATCGAGGAAAATAACTATATTAAATAACTAAATTGGGTATTGACTCATTTTTAAGCTATTGCTATTTTATGATCTTCATTGTTTTGGTTGAAACTTCTACATGATTTGTTGTATAGGTTACCCAGCTCTAGGTGTGGGCTTTACAGGTGCCTTGGCTAGCTTGCAACCCAAACGAGGGGATCATAGGTACTTATAAATTATGCATCTTAAGGTTTATGTCATTTTATTATATTGTTTCTAGAAGTGTTGGCTTGCTTAACATTTTTGAATACCGGTAGACTTTTAAAGACTATAAAAGTCTGAAACGAATACCAGTATACTTTTAAAAAGTCTAAATCGAATACGGGTAGACTTTTAAATAGTCTTTAAAAGTCTAAATTGAATACCACCAAAAAGTCTTTGAAAGTCTTTAGAAGTCTTGATTGAATAACACCCCCTAGATGTCATGGGGATATTGATTTTGCCTTAGTTAAGTATTTTTTGAGGATGAATTTCATTTCTCAGTTTGAATGTTCAGTCTGCAGAAACCTTATCAGAAAGAAAAAAATAAAATTAAATAAAAAGATTCAATCCTTAGAAGTACCTCTATTTTCATTCTGGATATATGTTTCTGATTTAATATTCATAAATTGACATTTATTTAACCCTCATATATGATTATCTTGGAATTAGTTACAGAATAGTTATTGACTTATTGAGCTCATGTTTTACTTATGAAAGGTTTCATTTATGAAAGGTTTCATTTGTCCACAAGGACGTCTGAAAGGCTTTTGGTGTCGACGGTTACATTGTCAAAGGTATTAATGCTTCTTACTATTCATACTTTCTTCGGTTGAGCTTTGGACCTGATTCCATGAAGATTTTGTTTTTCTTCCTATCAATGAGTTATTCAGGGTCTGCGAACTCGTGAGCAGGAAGATACTGTCTCAAGCCAGTTCTTACTTAAGGTGTGTGATGAATGTTATTTTGAATCTGAAAGGCTTATAATAGCATGGTATGCAGATATTGGTCTATGATGTTTAAAATATGCAAATAAGTCCTGACTTTAAACGATATTAAAGCTCTCGAAGCATAGGGCAACTTTATTTTGGTTTAAAATGTCCACTGATGGGAGCTCTTTATTGCCAAGAATACTGACCTGTTTGTTTGCAACTTTCAAGTATAGCAATATAATGAGAGATTGGTTGAGACAATTTTGAATTGAATACTCATTCATGTTTATGATCACTTTGTAACCTATGGATACAAAATATATGGAATTCAAAAAAGAAAGTCCTTTCTTATTGGTATCAACTACATTTAATCTAGTTTGGCATTTGATAATTTCCTCTTTCATTGTCAATGGTCTTCAATTTGTGCTTTTAAAGTTTATGCATATCTAGCGATGTAAAGGCGGTATGTTTTCCATCATTTCCAATGTTATTATATTTTGTTTTCCATTCTTTTCATTTCCAATGTTATATGTTTTGTTTTCCATTCTTTATGCTCGTTTAGTGGATTGACTGAATTCTTAGATCAAAGAAATTTGTTCTTCTTGGTTTTGGAATATTTTTGGTCAAAGTATCTGAGAAATCCTGTAATATGTCATTTTGTTCAATTTAGTCTTTATACCTTAATTTTGTGTAATTTGATCCTTGTGCTTGAAAATTTTATACAATCAAGGAATCACTATGCAATCTTTGAAATTTGAATTCTCATTTTTAATTATTTATCCTATCCCCTTGCTATTGTTAATATCATTTTGCTGTCTTTTCCATGTTTTGCTTTTCTAATGAATCTCATGGGACTCGTTTACTAATTGGAGAATTTCTCTAGTCTTACAAAAAAACTGAAGAATTATAGAATATAAAACAGAAAACATGTTTACTAGTATAATTTTACATTTTGAAAATTGAAAACATTTACCAGTTTCTAGAAAACTGGAGAACTTTTAAAAATTGTTTTCTAAATGAAAAACAGAATCATCACTCATCTATTTGGCTATATCACTATAACCACATTCTCACCATTATCTACTTACATATTTATTCATTACTATAATTGTATTCATTATCATATTCTTTTACTTATCATGATCTTCTATCTTTTCTACTCGCATTTACTTGTATATACATAACTTATTTGCTTACGCTTAAAGTTAGACATTATTCACATTATCAAAATTAAAACTTGGACTCTATACCAAGTTTTAAATTTTGATTGAACTCAATAGATGATTGGTTCGGATATTTGTAGTTATATTATATCGTAATACAAGTTTGGTCCGGATATCGGATATTGAAATTTCACATATATTAGACTTCAAAGTAAAAATTATATATATACATTCAAATGAATATATCAAAAAATATTTTAAATATTAGCTAAAAAAATATTAATATTATCTAAACTAAATTTTAGGTGAACTTTATATTGGTTCAGCCGTTAGATATGTTTTTAGTTATGTTATATACGGATATAAATTTGGTTTTGATATCAAATGTAAAAATCTTACATATATTAGACTTAAAAGTAAAAATTATATTTATTGCATTTAAACCAAACATATCCAAAAATATTTTAAATATAAGATCTAAAAATTACTCGAGATTAAACTTGTGTTAATTTTATAACGTTAGTCTAAAAAAATAAATTTTGAAAAATGAGTGTTAATAAACAAGTTTTCTAAACAGAAAATAGAGAATAGAAACTGAAAAATTAGAAAACATAAAACAGATAACAGTTTCTTGAAGTAAACGAGCCCTTGATGTCTTTACTGTGAAGGCATTGCAATTTTAATTCTTGTTTGGATGTAGGCAGTAGCAAATGCATGCAATGTTTCGGAAAATTTTGTTCCAGAGTTAATTGACTCAGAAATTCCTATTGAACATGGATGGCTATTTAATGAAGACCAACAGTTAGAGCAACTTATCAGCGGTCAAGTATCCTTTAAGGTTTATCCCTTCTCAAGTGGTATGGTTTACACCATGGTAAAAACCTACTAATACTAAATTCTGAATTTCCCTTTGTTTTGCAATCTAAGAGATACCTTTTGTAGATGCAGTCAACGAAGAGAGGAAAATAATTCTATCTGGATCGTTCAACCCCTTGCATGATGGGCACCTTAAGCTCTTGGAAGTTGCTAGTAGGTACATTCATCACTTTCAGACTGACTGTAAAATGATGAAAAGGGGTTGTGAACCTGATTCACAGGTTAAGGGTCATATGCTTTTCCTTTGACAATGTTAAGGAGGTAGGATACAGGGGGGAAAGGGGGTTCTTACTTCTGAGATTGATATATGAACTGAATTAGAAAGCTAAGGAAAAGTTTGAAGAAAACAAAGATTGCAACAAAATAATTGTTGACACATTATTGCTTATTGACTTTATGGCCGAGTTTATTCCTGGGAGTTGATGGCCTTTGTTAAAAGTGTTATCCTTTCCCTTAATCACTGTTAGCTTTATTATGCAGCATTTGTGGTGGTGGATATCCATGCTTTGAATTATCTGCAGTCAATGCAGACAAGCCTCCATTGACAGTATCTGAAATCAAAGATCGTGTAAAGCAGTTTGAAAAAGTTGGTGAGTATATGTATATTATCACTGTAATTTAGAGGAATACTTGAGGAGTAAACTTAATACTTTTATATATTATGCTCAAGTGCAAATGTCATGTTTTAATGCTAATAATAACAGTAATAATACTAGGTTTTAATTCTTATCCAAATGTGAACTAACATAATGGCCATATTCTTTGGGAGACGAATACAATAGTTGTTTAGGCTAACATAGGAGAGTTAAGTGCCATTAGCTGAGAAGCTGACTATACAAATGAATGCTCTGTAGCATCAATATTTTGGGATTACAGGAATCATGTTGCTTGGAGAATGATGATGCTGAATATTTAGCTAGTTTGTTTTTTTGGGTGGTTTGTGGTGTTTAGCTTTCTTTAGTCTCCAACCTCTTTGGTGATTATACATATTTTTTTTCATCAAAAAGATTAAAGTTAGTTAAAGAATGATTTTCCTATTGCCCTGCTGACAAGTGGCAGTATTAGATGTGCCAAGTTTCCCCCTTTTCCCCATTGATTTTTCTGTGGAAGTGAATAAGTTTGCACATTTGTATATGAATTCCTTGTGTCAATGCTAAAATCCCTACATTCTTAACTCACTCTCAATATATAAAATCCTTGCATTAATGTTTTTCACGATCCTGATATTAACCAGTATCCGTTCATTTCTGAAGTGCAGGCAAGACAGTCATAATATCTAACCAGCCATTTTTTTACAAGAAAGCAGAACTATTTCCTGGCAGTGCTTTTGTTATTGGTGCAGACACGGCTGTAAGACTGATAAACGTAAGGATTTGAAATTGTTTTTACAAGATGGTCCTTGTTTTTAGTACAGTAAGGATTCGAGACTTACTGACTTTGCATATTTATCGTTTCCAGCCAAAGTATTATGGCAATGATTATGGAAAAATGCTGGAGATACTTATTGGATGTAAGAACACAGGATGTACTTTCCTGGTGGGGGGTCGGAATGTAGATGGCGCTTTCAAGGTACTACGCTTGAATCTCCTTTTACCCATTTTAGTTTTCGAAATGCTTGTGAAATCTACACTGATTCATAGCGTCTATAGCGATAGTCTAAACTAGAAGCCGTTGCATGGGCTCTCTCCAGGTGCTTGATGACTTCGAAATTCCTGAGGAGCTGAAAGACATGTTTGTCTCAATTCCAGCAGAAAAATTCCGGGTGGATATTTCATCAACTGAAATCAGGAAAAACCGAGGGATGTGAAGCTTCAATCGGGTAACTTCTCCATTTAAAGAACGAGTTCTACTAAATGTACTCTCAAATTTTACTCCCTCACTTTTACTCCATGACATGGGTTTATAAAGATTGGCTATTTTCATCATGTGGGTCTCAGGGAATGTTTCTACATCAAGAATTTGTGAGATGAGTAAAAGTTGAGAGTAAGAAATGGGAGTACATGTAATATTTTCCTTAAAGAACTAGGTTGTAATGTCATATGTCTATCAAATAATCAAATTGCTCCCGGCGCCCCACTAATTAAGAAACAGAAAAACGAAAAGCTATAGAAAAAGGGGAAAATTGTAATTTATGTCCCCCATAATATGTCAATTATCAATGTCACTCCTGGATTATTAGTGGTGTAAATGTTGCCTCTCAATTTTCAAATGTTGTAAATGTACTGAGGCTAATGCACTTTAGAGAACAACGAAGGTTATCGGCTATGTTAGGAAGTATCGGCTGTGTGCATTGGGAGTGGAGAAATTGTCCGCTTGGTGTGGCCAATATCAATCATTATTGTGTGGACTATGCTCACACAAATTGTGTGGACCATATTTTGTATATTATCAAATAATGTACATTTAGTTAAAAAGTAATGTACTTTTAGTATATTAAAAATGTACTTTGTATTCAGAGAAAGTACATTATTTGAATGCTAAAAGTATATAATGTACATTCAGTACAAAAATAATATATTTTTAATATATTAAAAATGTACATTCTTTTATGGTCCATACTGCACTATGTGGACTATGGCCGACACAATAATTTGCCAGCCAATGCTAGAGGATAGCACAACTTTATAAAACACCTCATTAAAACTTTTTTGTCAATTTAAACTACTATTTAGCAAATGGAATATATCCTAGTTGAGTGACCTTTGTAAAGTCAATCTTGCAACTTGTGTAAAGAACAAATTCTTACATAAAATAAATTATTTTATTTTGAATTTTTACGTAATACAACTTTTTCTAAATATTTATGTGATCAATGCAAATTATTTTATTTTGAATTTGTAAAATAATTTAACTAATTTGAATTTTTGTCATCATTTTTAATATTTAAAATTAAATTATATTGATGGGAGAGAATAATGGTAGAAAAAAAAAATTATTGATGAAATTAATTAATGTTTTTAGGGTAGGTGAAAAATGCAAATATAGAGTAAATAATGATAATTGCAAATATAATGCTTTAAAAGTACTAGTGAGAGGATACAAATAGCGTTATGTTATAAATTTGTGATTTTAGCTCTATTGAAAAGTACAACTTTTTGATTTCTGTTCATTGTTAAATATTAAAATATATGGAATTATAGAACAAAAAAGAAGAAGACATATTTCATATTTACTTCGGAAGTTCCATGAAGTCAATTTGTGTCGTGTTTGTGTTTGTATGATTGCCAATGAGAAGAAATTTGCAAAGTCTGAGTTTCATCAACCGCCGCAGCCTCCGCCGCAAGCTCCGCCACAGCCAGCGCTGCCGACGTAATTCGTGTCCCTGGCGGTGTCTTCTTTGGGGAGTTTGCCGTCGGAGCAGGAGAATATGACGGCGGAGATGAAACTCAGGCCGAGCAGAGACACCCATATGACCCAAAACCCTACGCCATAGCCGCCCTCCGCATTGCTTCCCAGTTCTCTACTCATCTCTTCTCAGTTAGAGCTTGCCCTTTTCTCGTCTCCCCAAAACCATATTTCTTCTTAAATTTGGCTCTTCGGGAGATGAATGGCCCAAAGAGGCTGCTTTTTGGCTAAGCAGTTGGGTGAAAGCTGACTTTTCAATTGTTATACAATGGACCAGTCTCAACTGGGAATTATGGTTCAAAAATGTGCTCTACAAACACATCAATTGTTAATGCATGTATAAAATATATTATACATTAGTTAACGTGTTATGTGTCTACCATTAACATATCTTGTATACTTGCAGTTAATAATTTATGTGTTCTTAGTTATCATGCTATGTGTTTATAATTAGCATGTGATGTGCCTTTAATTTATTTATTTATAAGTATATAAACGATTAACTGCAGGTACAAAATAGGTCAATTACAAGTACAGAATCTGAAGGGTGATACTATTTGCACCACCCTTTAACCAAAAGTGGGTATAAAGTATAGTGTAAAAAGGTGAAAACTTTTAATAATTACGTAGGTGGTGTAAATAGCCAGATGGGGGTATATTTTGCTATTTGCACCACCTTGGTTAAACTTGCAATTAATAATTTTTAATTCAAAATTTAATTAATTAAAACATTAAAAAAAAAAAAAAAAAAAAAAAGAGATCCCGTCACCTTCCCCGGTGATAAGGTGAGAGAAGGCAGCCCAGTTGCCTTCTCCGGTGAGAAGGCAGTAGTGACGAGTTATTTTGTTTTTTGTTTTTAGTAATTAATATTTTGATTGTTTAAAAAAATGGATAATAAATATTAATTTTTGACCACATTTAATGATGGTGGTGCAAATAACACTTTTCTATTTGCACCACTTATAAAGTTATTAGACCTATTAAATAGATGGTGCAAATAGCAAAATAGGTGGTGTGGATATAATTTCTCGAATCCGAAGATTAATTTTGAATGAGAAATTCTATTTACACCACCTATTTTGCTATTTGCACCACCTATTTAATAAGTGTAGTAACTTTATAGGTGGTGCAAATACAAAAGTGCTATTTGCACCACCATCATTAAATGTGGTCAAAGAGTAATATTTATTATCTATTTCTTTAACACTCAAATATTAATTATTATAAAAAAAAAAAAATCCCGTCACCTTCTCCGATCTCCGATGAAAAGGCAGCTCAGTGGATCGCCTTCTCACATGAGAAGGTGACGTTTAGTTTATTTATTTATTTATTTATTTTATGTGTTAATTAATTAAATTTTAAATTAACAAATTATTAATTACAAATTTGACCAGGTGGTGTAAATAGCAAAATGTACTCTCATTTGACTATTTAACTACCTATTAATTATTAATTTTTTTTTTTACCTTTTTACAATATCAGGATACTTTATACTCATTTTTAGTCAAAAATGGTGCAAATAGCAACACACAAAATGGTATAATTTGCCCTGACTTTTCTAGCAGTACGGACCTGTCATTATTATCAAACAAGATGTATTAAAAGTCGTATGCATTCTTGGTCTATAGGAATTCTCAATGCCTTAATTATTTTTTTTTTGGAGTTTTTGTAGAAATAATCGTTTGGATTAATTAGGAGGGCAAACGTATAAAATTTATCATTTCACGCACTTCTTCATTCAAGTATACTACTAGACTTTAAAAATCTACTCCTAACTTTTATTCTCACTAACTGAACATTTAATTAGAGGGAATTAAGAATTGCAATTCCTTCATTTTCATGAAATTAAAATCTTCTCCCACCCCAACGTTATTTCAATTCCGTAATTTTTAAGAAGAAAAAAAAATCTTAATACAAAAATTACCCTTCTATTTTTTAACCTAAAATTAATGTCTGACATCTCCCTCTCGATCATAGTATGTCTTATTGTATAACAACCTAGATAAGTAGATAGCAAAGACATGGAGATACAACAATTTAGAAACAAGTTTCCTTTCAAGAAAATGATTTTTCTTTTCCAGTTAAAAGACTCCTATTTTTTTTTTTTTTTAATGAAACATTTTTGGAGTTTTTCACAATTTTTATTGTATAACAACCTAGCTAGATTAGTAGATAGCAACTGCTATGACGTGGAGATACAACAATTTAGAAACAAATTTTCTTTCATAACATTAAAAATTTTCAATTCAACCCTTGAACCACTTTCAATTAGACTCCTTTTATAAAACACTTTTGGAGTTTTTGTGAATTTTCAAAAAAGAAAAAGTAGTGTTTAAAATCTTTTGAGTTTTAACTTTGTGGGCGTTTAGAAATAGTAGGTTTTGGATACATCATCAAGTTTAATCATGGTCCAAAACTTGACTATCGTAACACAGGTTGGTTAAGTGGTTTACACATTTGTATTTTGGCTACAGATATGTGAAAATCTCAAGTATCTCCATTCTTTTAGCAATTCTTTTGTGATCCCAAAGGGCTGAGCGTCAATACTTTCCTTTCTTCTTATCCCTCATATGTGAAGTTTTCACTACCTCTTCCGAATTTAATTGCACATCAACTCTCTTATAAGCCGTTTATTTGATCAAACAGATTGATGACTCTAATATATATAGACTTAATAATTCTATTATAGAACTATCTATAGAGTCTATTTTAGGAAAAATTAATATTTTATTACTTTAATAATTATATAATTGATTATAATACATATTTATTTATATTTATTACATTTGAAAAAAAAAACATAAATGCTTAAAGTGGCCTTCCTAGAGCGATAGTGCCACATGATTGAAACCATTACACATAGATGTGATTTAATCAATGTTCATTATCACTACAATCAATTTTGATACATATGATAAAGCTATGTTGATTTTATCCTAATAAAATATTAAAGATTAAATTTTTCTTTTTGGGATCTCAACTCATATGTTGCAATCCTTCTTTGACTACAAGATTTAGCCACAATATATATAATTGATGAAGGAGCAATATATATATATATATATATATATATATATATATATATATATATATATATATATATATAAACTATTCTAAATCAACGGTTTAGAATGAAGGAATTTTTTTTTTAAATACGCTTCCTCGACTAGCTGCTGTTGTTCTCATTTTCTCTCAAGACTTGTTCTTAATTTTATTGGATAAAGTCATGCACCTTAAGTACTGAACTTATGCACCTTAACTTCTAAGTTATGCACTAAATTACCATAATGCTATTGCATATATATATATATATATATATATATATATATATATATATATATATATATATATAATTTTCATCATTTTGGACTGTTAGTTGATTTTGGCAGATCAATGACTGAGATTTCAACCAATTTTTTACCTGAGACCTCTTTGCATTTGATCTATGTATGTATGTATGTATGTATGAGATTAATTGAGAGAATTAAAAACACGTGTGCATATGGAGCATTATGTTGTGTGCATATTAAGCATGTGTTATGTGCAACATAGGGACATGCTTAATATGCACACATCCTAATGCCCATATGCACACACACGTTTTTTAGTTTTCTCAATTAATCTCATCCATAAATTTATTTTTTAATATACCAAATTCATTTTCATAGATTCATGAGGAGATTGGTTCTTATATGATCTCTAATATATATTTTTCATTAATAATTAAATCTTGTTAATTAGTAATAAAAAATAAAAGAAAGAACATAGACATGTGGCAATCATTTGCATGGGCGCATGCCGAGGCGTTGGATCACATCACCGAAAGGAATAACTTGTTAATGATTAGGGTGGAATTGAATGAGAAAGTATGACCTATTTTTGGGGCCCTTTGTGATCATTGGCCATGCAATGATAATATGAGTCCATAATGATGATTATTGCAATATATGTTAGTTATTGCTCACATTTCATAGTAACCAAAATCATTTCCATTTGTATTACTATTTCACAATACTCTCATTCTATTCTAAACAATACTTTTCTCATAATTACAATATTATAATGTAGTATTATATAGTATAACCTATTAAAGCATGAAGAGTCGAATCTCGAAACTTTGACCCCCCATTTGGTAAAACCACAGAGATTCCATTGAACTACAAGAATTATAATTTTTTTTTTTTTTAAAAACAAGCTTTAAAGTATTCGTCAAAATTATATTGCATTATGATTGGTTTTGTGTGAAGCCGCGCGCCACATCATGCGAGATGGATAATATTTTTTTTAGAGAAAATATAATATTTTTCTATGACTTAAAAATTTTATATTTTCACTAAAAAATTATATTTTAGTCGCTCTCACTTGAACCAACGCCATTTGGTAATTCTTGGGTTTCATCTCTTTTAATTCATGCCTCAATTCTTTTTCTTCATTGTTTTTTGGGGGGTAAACCACAAGGTAGTCCGGATCTTTCTTTTTTCGGGTGTAAACCACAAGGTAGTCTGGGGTTATCTCTGTCCGTTTAACGGACTAATCCCCGTTCGCTTCGGGAAGCACGGGAGCTGGTTAAAAAAGAATCGTCAGTTGTGAAAATCAAACTTGGGTTACCCTAGAATTCTCCCCCACAAAGAGAGCTCATTTGCCACTTGAGCTACCCAATAGTTATGTTGTGGAACCGTGTTCACCATGCGCATGGTGAACACGGAATAGATTCATAATTTCTACAGCATAGAAATTATGGATCTTCAGCATAGAAATTATGAATCTACCAATGTGTTCACCATGCGCATGGTGAACACGCTTCCACTTTCCACAGCATAATTTGCGTATAGCTACCCTATTGGGTTCTTTTTCTTCATTATATGAAAATGAAAGTTGTAAACATTGTGCTATTATAGTTTTATTAATGCAATTTACATATTCCAATCTTATATTATCACCAAGTTGTATAAGTTCACTCTAGAAAATCTCACTAAATAAACTTATACTAAAATTTCTATTAATTACACTTGTATAATATATGATGAGAGATCAGAATTTGAGATCGACCTAACTTAACTTTAGAAGAAAATTTTAAACGTTAACTCGATTATACAAATGTCGTTGACACACACACTTCTTTGTGTGGGAGATGAATGAACATGCATGTGTATTGCAGGGGTACCAACAAGAGTACAAAGCACATTGTACTCTAGATTTACAGTATAGCTGCTTATATATATTTTGTCATAATGGTTAAAGCTAATTATTCACTCAGCTCCCTTATTATCATTACCTCAAGCACTACCAAGCATGCCAATGTAATTATGTTGTGGATGAGTGTTCATGTTTTTCTTTTGTCCACCTCAGCTCCTATCCTTCCCTTTACACCACAAAATGAATGGAATCCCATACCCCCACCCCCACCTCCACCCACCCCCTTCATCTCCCTTTTTCAATTTTGCTTCATTTTTGGTAACTTGTTCATCAACACTTGCACATGGCCAAACTATTTTAATTACTATGGGTAATGTATGTTGAATACATATAAAATTTCACACAAATACATACATCAATGATAACCTTTTCAGGCCAAGGGTATGGTTCCTTAGGGGTTGATCTATTCACTATCACTGCTGTAAATTATGAAATTTTCGACCACCTGAAAGTGATATTAAATCAAGTCGAAAGTCTTGTTCCGACCACTTTTGGTATCCGGAAAAATCTTTGTTGCTATTTCCGACCACTTTTTGCTTTCAACTTGATTTAAGATCACTTTCAAGTGGTCGGAAATTCCATAATTTCCAACAGTGTATATGTGTAGATTGACTTAAAAGTATAAAAGTTTTCACTGACAAGCGATTATGTTTTTCATAATAATTTTTTGGATGTAGTCGTAACATTGGTCATTTCAAGTGATAATGAAATTAGTAAATGTTTTTACTTTTTTTTTTTTAATGACAAAGGAAACCATAGTTATTATTACCCAATTAAGGGTATGCAAACTCTGCCTTGTGACCCTAGTTGACAAATGATTACAATGAGTGTAAACTAGCTTAGGTTGCTCATAGCTGACTCAAAAAAAAAAAAGGGACAATAGGTCACTCATGTTGAGAGTTGAACTTATAAGCTTATATCAAGTCAATAACTTGACCAATTTGGATGAGTTGCTTCTAAATGTTTATACATTATTCCTATGATTCATTAATTAGTTCCCAATTTCCCTGTATAGGGTACATATAAGAATGTGGTAATAAGAAAAGAAGTGTGAAGAAGGAAAGTATATAAGCACTATATTAAAGTCAACAATCTTGGGTTTCTTTTGTAAGCATGAATATTTAGCACCGAAAAGCAATGAAAGCAAAATGACTTTTCTTTTGCACCCTTAGCCATATATACTATTGCCTTTTTTTCCTTTTTAATTGTTTCTTGTAGCCACCTTTAGTTCACTCCATTTGCTATAAATAGGCACAATCCATAACCAATTGCACTCATCAAAGCAAACACAAACTCAAACAACACTCTAGCTTAGCTTGGCAATCCCCAATTAAGGCCAACCAAACAACATTGCAATGAGGAGCATAGCAATCTGCGCGATATTACTGGTGTTGGTTCTCGGGGCATCAAAAGTTGAAGTGACTGAAGCGGTGACATGTAATCCCTTACAACTCAGTCCTTGTGCCACCGCGATAACATCTTCCAACACCTCTCCTAGCCCGGTGTGTTGCTCGAAGCTCAAAGAGCAAAGGCCTTGCCTATGCAAGTACATGAAGGATCCAAGGCTCCAAAGGTTCATTGCCTCTCCTAATGCCAAGAAGGTTGCCAACACTTGTGGGTCTCCCTTTCCTCGTTGCTAAAGGCAAACATCACTTGACTTTGGTACTAAGTTGTCCCATCAAGTTGTATTAGTAATCCTTTCTATTACTATCTTATTTTGTCTCTTAATTATATATACAACTACTCCTACATATATATACTACCTATCATCCAAGTTAAAAGTGGTGTATTTTGTTAACTAGTAAAAGAGAGTTGGTATCATATATGGGACAATTGTTAGCTACTCTTAATATGTGTTCTATGTTGTTGTACTATGATGATATTAAATGGCTTTTTTTGTAATGGAGACCTTGTATTATGGTTATACAATGTTACGTGTTTGGTTGTATTGTAATTTCAGAATGAAAGGTTCAATCACCACCTCTATATGTTATTAAAATCTATTTGATAATTTGTGGTTTCGACTAAATTAATTTAATTAGTCTTATCCTGTAAGGCGTAAATAGTCGGATACAGAAGAATATCTATGCAATTTACCAAAAATTAAAAATTTAAAAATTTAAAAAATAATTTGATACATTAATTTTTGCTAAAGTGATAATTAATGTATAATAATGTTTAAAATGAAAATCACCATTTAGTAAAATTGGCTAAAATTTCAAATTGATGGCCAAATTATTGTTTCAATGTTATGATTGACTCTTAAAACTTTTATTTAATTTATAGGACTATGTGGTCTAATGGTATCCGGGTTGGACTTCCATTTGGAAGGTTGTAAGTTCGAGCCTCACCCTATGAGAAAGTATATGAACAGATACTACAATGTAATGGAGCTAGTAGCATTCAAAAAGTTAGTATAAAAGCATTTTTCCAAAAGTCCAAATAACTAAACTAATAAGAGTGGAGTATTAAGCACAACTAAACAAACTTTAAAATCTAATTCCAATAATTTAGTATTCACTTTTTAAAAGCTTTCTTTCCCCACCCATAGCAAAACTCCATTAGAGCATCTCTATATAATGGGAACATTCTCTTTGATTTACAAAAAAGTCTTCCATTGTTATTTTAAGATGCACAATGAGCGGAAATCTGTCGTGTGACTTTGATCAATATAGAATTATAAGGAAGTAAAATTAGTCTAGGTTATTCATAATTGACCAACTTGATTTTTTTTTTTTTTTGAGTACTATTTACTCTATTACAATTTACAATGTAGTATCTGTTTTATACTCTCTATCTGTTGCAGTCCAGACCAGAGAGTCAATACCCCACCACCAGAATTATTCGATCCTGTGACCTTCCCACAAGGACAGTCTGAGCACAAGGTGCTTCGCAACCAGAGCTCGACTTAATTTTAGTAATTTTTAATATGCAGATATGACAACTTATCTACCTAATGACAAACTTAAAAAAAAAAGATTAATTTAAAAAAATATCATTTAACTATTGATATTTTAATTCTATTACAGTTTCAATCGACGATTATAGTCTATAGTCCATGATCTACTTTATAACAACTTGGCGCCCCTACTCCTCTCTGTAATACAAAGCATATATTTTGCTATTGACCCCTTTATTTTGAGTAAATTTCATTTAGCTCCTCTTATAAATCAGTTCAAAAATTACTTTATGACTTAACTTGATACAGTAAAAAGGCTACTGGTTACTGCAATGCTGCTTGGTGGGAAGAGCTCTCAATCTTCCTGCGTCTAAATCAAGGGCGCATTCTCCGTTTTGTTTTCATCAATCAACGTTCAGCTCAAGGTTAGTAGTTATGATCGTTAATGAACAAAATCCCTAATTTTTTACTCTCTTTTCCTGTAACTGTTATTGTGTTTAAGGCACTCTACCTGTTTGACGAAATGCCCATTAGGATATGTGCTCGCTTGCCCAGACATGTACTTGTAAAAAGATCAAATCTTTCTTGCATAAATTCATAAAGCATGGATAGTTTAAGGCACTCTACCTGTTTGATGAAATGCCCATTAGGGTATGTGCTTGCTACCTTGCTTGCCCAGACATGTACTTGTAAAAAGATCAAATCTTTCTTGCATAAATTCATAAAGAATGGATAGTTTAGTTCTAAATAGTTATTTAGCAATTGCTATATGCTCTCTTCAAACCAGCTCAAAGGATTGCTGCCATCTTATCACTACTCAAGTATCATATAACTAAACTTAAAAATCTTAAATACAATATGCTTAAATTCAGCCAAGAGTAAAGAGATAGGTGGTTGAAAGTTTGCAAGTTTTAGAACTGTTATGATTAGATGTTTTATTATTCTGAATTTAATATTATGAATTATGATGCATTCTCACTGTTCTTCATATTTTGATGATTTGATTCTTCATGCTCTTTGTTGTTCAATATAGGCAAATGGTCAATGCCCAAAAGAAAGAGAACAGAGACAATGCACTGCTGCATTGCATTTAGATTATTTATTTGGGTTCGATAAGTTCATAGATAAGCTTCTTTGTTTAGTTACTAGTGCCAAATTCACTGGGTACATTGGTGGGCTGAATTTTCTTTATCAAAATGATTGTATTACGTTGCTGCACCTATAGATCAAGTCTCAGATGGATGACATTGACCAGAATGTACTGTTCCAAAGACACAATGGTACCTATGTTTGATCCCACAAAAAAGGTTTGTGATATTTTGATGTCTTGCCCGAAATCAGGGCTTGATACTGAGCTTGATCAGAGTGGGATTAGGCCTTCACCTGAGCTAGTTGAAGAAGTACTTAAAAGATTTGAGAATGCCGGAATGCTGGCACACCGTTTCTTCGAATGGGCTGGCAGACAACATAATTATGAGCATAGTGTTATAGCTTATCACACCATGATTGAATCCCTAGCCAAGATAAGGCAGTATCAGGTCATGTGGGATCTTGTGAACGGCATGAAAGGAAAGGGTATGCTAAATATTGAGACATTCTGCATAATCATGAGGAAGTATACGAGGGCCCAAAAGGTGGAAGAGGCAGTGTACACGTTCAATGTCATGAAGAAATACGATGTTCCTCCCAATCTCGCAGCTTTCAATGGATTGTTAAGTGCTCTATGCAAATCAAAAAATGTACGAAAAGCTCAAGAGATTTTCGATAGCATGAAAAATCAATTCATTCCTGATGCAAAAACATATAGCATATTGCTCGAGGGGTGGGGAAGAGATCCCAATCTTCCTAAGGCCAGGGAAATATACCGAAAAATGATTGAAGTGGGTTGTAACCCTGATATAGTGACATATGGTATTATGGTTGATATCCTTTGCAAGGCGGGTAGGGTTGATGAAGCTGTTGAAATAGTCAAGGAGATGGAGTATGAGGGATGTAGGCCTACATCCTTCATTTATAGTGTCTTAATCCATACATACGGGATAGATAACCGTATTGAAGATGCAATTGATACATTCCATGAAATGCAAAGAAGTGGAGTTCATGCTGACGTAGCTGTCTATAATTCTCTAATAAGTGCTTTCTGTAAAGTGAACAAGTACGAAAATGCTTATAGGGTAGTGAAAGAGATGGACCGCAAAGGGGTTACCCCAAACTCAAGGACGTGTAATATAATTTTGAGCAGCTTAATTGGTCGAGGTGAGACCGATGAGGCTTTCGTAATTTTCTGCAAGATGATCAAGATATGTGAACCTGATGCAGACACTTATACTATGATGATAAAAATGTTCTGTTCGAGCAAGGAGCTTCTAAAGGCTCGTAAAATATGGAAGCTTATGAAACAGAAGCAATTTCTCCCAAGCATGCACACGTTTTCTGTGCTTATTAGTGGGTTGTGTGACGATGGTGATACCCGCAGGGCATGCCAATTGATGGAAGAGATGATTGAGAAAGGAATTCGCCCTGATAGGGAAACATTTGGAAAGTTAAGACAACTACTCTTGAAGGAAGACAGAAAGGATGTACTCGAATTTCTTCACGAGAAAATGAATCTGCTTGTGAAGGAGCCTTTATGTGACTGAAAAACGTTCTGATGATAACTTTGAATATCAGGATGAGAATACCCCTCGAGAAACAACGAAGAATCCAATTCAGAAAATGGAGCCATAAACCTTGACGTCTGAAATCCACAGACCGATGCTTTTTCAGTGAATTCAGTGGTTTGGTTGTGCTCAAGCCCCGCACTTTCTACCTACAAATTTTCCAATATGAATGCATAAACTACATGAACGTCGCACCATAAGAGAAGAAGAAGGAAGCGTTGCACAAGTGTATCCTGTTTCCGTTGCAACTGGCAGCTTCTTAGCTTCAAGAAATCATCCTTTTCATTCCTTTTGAGTGTCAAATCTTGGAAGAAGATGAAGTTCAAAGTAAGGCAGCTCAGTAGTTAATCAGCCTAGATCTGTACAATTATGTGACTGTTTAGAAAAATCACAGTATATATTTGGTTTTAAATGGCATATGGAGAATAATGGAATTTTTAAAAAAATAAAATTGTGGGGGTGTTTGGCAAATAGCTGATAGCTGCTAGCGGATTGGGTTAGTAGGTTTGACTAGCTGATTGTATTAGCTAGTTGTAGAAAGATATTTGGTAAATTAGCTGTTAGCTGGTAACCGAGTACAAGCAAAATGACCTTTAGGGGCCGTTTGGTTCACAGAATGTTAGATTACCTTAGGGAATGTTAGATTACCTTAGGGAATGTTAGATTCCCGTGTTTGGTTAAAATTGAGGTAGGCAACCATCGTCTGCATTCCGACACCAAATTACAAGAGAACCGTCGCCTTCTAAACAGAATTTTGGATCATTAATCCAACGAACCACATTAGCTGAGTCGCTCTGGATTATCACAACACTGCAATCTCCCAACTTCTTTTGAAAGCCCACAATCCAAGTTCCTTCAAAATGACAATTATTTGAAGGAAAACATTGTTACCGTACCAATTCAAATGCATGCTGTTCTCTCAACTAATTGCAAATTATTAATGATCATATTACAAATTAATTAAAAAAAAAAAAAAAACTTTACAATATTTTATATAATCAATAAAGAATAACTCATAAAATTTACTTAGCCCTTAAAACTTCTACCTCTTGGTCCATATGGAACAATCAAGGATAACTAATAAAATTCATTTAGTCCTTAAAATCTTCTATACAATGGCATCAGAACAATCTTGGTCCATATGGAACAATCTTGCTCTATAAAAAACTTACAATCTTGCTCTATAAAAACTTTTTTCATTGCCTTTTAATTTAACTTGCCCATAAGAATAAAACCCCAAAAATTTATTCTATAAAGTGATTGTTTTACAAAATTTGAGTATATAAAGATCTAATTAACAAAATAAAATATGTGTGAAACATAAATTTCATTTTCACCCATAATGAGAAAGGCTTTCATTATTTTTCACAAGGGTCTAAAGATGAATTGAAAATCTTATTGAAATGCGCTACTAAACTAATTGGTATGCAACACTCGTCCATTATTTAATTTGACATCGTCGACGGTAACCCTAAGCTAAATCTGCATTACATAGATGTAAGATTTCATTGAAAGTAAAATTAGTGGTAAATTCTATAAAAAAGCATGGATTTTTAACATATTAAGTACGAAAGTTACATTTAATGCTAGATTGAAGTTAGAAATTGAATGAAACTTTTACAAAATTCAAGTTTGACCAAAATTATTTAACCTAATCAATCCATATGTAGAAGGATTGAGAAATAGTATATATGCCAGCTGTAGTAGACTAAGTAGTATGTGACCTGTAAGTGGCTGTAGTAGTAGACTAAGTAGTATGCGAGCTAAAATGGTAGAGATTCGAAATGAGAAGATGAAAATTGCAGACAAGAAGAAGCAGTCAAGCTCTGAAAATAGTATTAATATGGTTATTATAATTATTAGCATTGTATTTTGTTTTGTATCATTTCTTTGTAATATTAATCATGTAATATTACTTATTTGTGTTAGTCAAATTGTCGTTTTATTATTTACGTTGTTATAAAAAATTTAATATAATTATATGTTATATTAAATTTTAGAACATATTTAATAA